GGAAAGCTGAGGCAGGAGAACTGCAAGTTCAAGACCAGTCTGAGCAACTTAGGGAGACCCAGTCTCAAAATAAAAAAGGGCTGGGGATATGGCTTTGTTGTAGAACACTTGCCTAGCCTGTGTAAGGTCTTGGATTTGATTCCAAGAAACAAACATACACATACGCCCAAAATTACAAAAAGTACTTTTTGTTAAAAAAAAAAAAAAAAAAACACTAAAAAATACAACTAAGCAAAAAAGAAGAAAATAGCATATTCTTCCCACCTACAGATTATAAACAACACTTGAATGGGTGTTATGGGAACCCCTTTACATCTTATGCTATACATATGTACTGTAGACATTTTTTTTCAGAACTACAATCGAGCGCAGAGCCCTACGAATGCTAGGCAAGCACTGTACCACTGAGAGACCTGCCCGCACCACACATACCAACCTATATATCTTTCTTATCTACATGAGAGCACACTTACATACTGCTTTTCCCCCCAGTATTGGAGATTGAACTCAGTGCCTCACGCATGTGTGCTACACCCCTATTCTTGTACACAGTGGGTTTTTTGTTTGGGATTTTTGGTACCAGGAATCTACCACAGGACCTTGTGGTTGCCAGGCAGGCGCTGCATCACTGAGCTATATCCCTGGCCCCTCATATTGTTTTTTGTTTTTTTCCTCTGTCTTTTTTTTGGGGGGTGGGTACTAGGAATCAAACTCAGGACCTTGCACTTGCCAGGCAGGTGCTTGTGCCGCTGAGCTATATCCCCGGCCCCTCCTCTGTCTTTTTGAGACAGGGTCTCGCTATGTAGTTCAGGCTGGCCTTGAGCTCACTTTGTAGCCCAGGCTGGTCTCGAACTCATAATAACCTTCTTGTCTCAGCCTCCTGATTGCTGGGATTACAGGCATGCGCCACCATGCCGGGCAAGGCTTGGCAATTTTAAAGTACAGACTTTTGTGTAGAATACATCATAGATGAACAGTGTATTTAATTTTATATCAAATCAAGATTCATATAATACTGAATGTCTTCCTATCACTAATATGATAAACTGTCCCCTAGATTATGGTAATAATGGCTAGATCTTTACTCTTTTTATCCCCATTTTTTGCCAGGCACTCTACTATTGAGGAACAGCTCCAGCACGCCAAATTCAGTATGAGTGGTTTTAAAGTACATTAAAAGAAATAGCAAAATGAGCATTTGCACTTGGGTGCCCACAAATTAGACTGAACTGATAATATTTGCCTAATTTTGCTTTATCTATACCTGTATTGAAAAAACTTTATTGGGGGGTTGCTGGGGGGTACATCTTAGTGGTGGAGCATTTGCCCAGCATATGTGAGGCCATGGATTCCACCCCCAGCAGCCGAGAAGAAAAAAATTTTTCTTTTTAAAATGTAGTATCTAAACCATAACATTGTCCTTTACAGATATACATATCTATGTAGATATATATAATTTTATTTATTTATTTTTTGTCTTTTTGAGACAGGGTCTCGATATGCAGTTCAGGCTGGCCTTGAGCTCACTTTGCAGGCCAGGCTGGTCTTGAACTCAAAATGACCCTCCTGCCTCAGCCTCTCGGAGTGCTGTGATTACAGGCATGCACCACCATGCCCAGCTTACAGCTATATTTTTACACTAAAAATTAGTAATTGTTCTCTAATATCATCTAATATTTAGTTTATATCTTTTTTTTTTTTAAGTTTATATCTAAATCTCCAAAATTGTCTTCCAAAGGTCTTTTTATAGGTTTTGTTTTCCTAATTCTGGGTAGTACTGCACTCTACTCTCAGCTCATACAGATTTTTAAAACTCATAACCCTGTCAAGATTCACTCATGGCATTTAGGTAAAATGTCTATGTAGTATCTTTTAATCTAGAACTGCTCATCCCATCTCTACTTTCTGTGTATAGTGACACTGACATTTTTTGGCAGCACTAAGGATGAAGCACAAGGCCTTGTACATGCTTAATAAGCACTGAGCTCCTTTTCAAAATTTCACTTTCAGACAGGATTTCACTAACTTGCCCATGCTGGCCTTGAAGTGCAATCCTCCTGCCTTGGCCTTAAAATAGTTTGGATTACATAATTGTCCCACCATGACCAATTTAATTTTCTTTTTTCTGGTACCAAGAATCAAACTCATGATCTCGCGCTTGCCAGGGAGGCACTGTGCCACTAAGCTAAATCCCCAGCCCCCAACCAGTTTAATTTTTAATGAAAGTGGTTTCCAAGCCTGTAATTCTAGCACTCAGGAGGCTGAGGCAGGAG